TTATTATTAAAAAATAAATTTAAAATTAATAACATAATATAAAATATATTGTTCAAAGTATTACAAAATAAATTTTATATAATTTAATAATTAATATTTTTATTTTTTCATCTATAATATTATATATTAATTAATTTAATATTATAAATTATATTATATCATTATTTTTAAATTTCGCTGTGGCTATCATTACTCTTTTAAAAAATCACAAACATCACGTTTTTAGGACAGGGCAGGGGGCAGCTGTAACGTTCTTATGCTGCCTTGTCTGCGCGGAATTGCTATTCCCAGGACAATCTTATCCGGCAGTCAAGCTGTTAGTTAGGTGTAGACTGCGCTGTTCCAACCACCTCCTTTTTTTTTATTTTTTATTTTTATCAATTTCTTGTTCCGACAAACAATGTTTTACAAAATAATGTTTTTTTATTTAACCTGAGAGTATTTTTAAATTAATTTTTAATTATTTTATCTATTTTTTAAATTCAACTTATTATATTTAAAAATTTTAATTTTTTTTAACTATTGAACCTATGAAATAAAACTAAATTTATTTATTAGAGGTCTTCCCTTTTCCGTTACAAGTAAGAAATTACTTACTACCGTACTTCTTGCTACCTAAGGTTTTTCTCACTACAACTGTTGGCTTTACATAAGTCATTTCCAAGTACCACAATCACGAGTTCCCACTTCCCACCCCCCAACCCCCACTCCCCAAGCCTTCTTCTTAATTTTAAATTATTTTTCCTCTAAAAATATTAAGTTTTTTTTTTAATGAATTTTGTCATAAAATGTTATATATATATATATATATATATATTTGTAATGATTTTTATTGAGGTTGTCAGGACGTGAAGAGGGGGCGTTTTTGAGACTGGAAATGTTAAAGTTTGAGCTGGAATTAACGGCTTTCTGCATGTTACACGTCTGATTCCCATATCTTTTTTATTCTGCGCTCGTCTAATTAAAACTATCCAGTGGGCTCTGGGTTCATTGCAAAGCATCTAATCTTTTTCTGCTAGACATTTCGTCGAACATCATCCTGTTATAGGAAAGCAATAGCAGTTGGGTCTTTTGTTGTTGATCAACGAGAATGAGTTTCAAGGATGACGCAGAAGAAGGGAGGGATCTCCGGAAACCGTTTCTCCATACCGGGAGCTGGTATCGGATGGGCTCTAGGCAATCTAGTTTGATGGGGTCATCACAAGTCATTAGGGAAAGCTCCATATCTGTTCTTGCCTGTGTTTTGATTGTTGCTCTGGGTCCTATCCAATTTGGTTTCACTGTGAGTTACTCCATTTTTGCTTTCTAGTTGCTCCTTTCTTTTTTCTTTTGATCCTGTTTTGGTCATCAAGTAAAAGAAGTATGACTTTTGAATTTATGTCTTGGATGGCTTTTCCTGCAGGCTGGTTATTCTTCTCCTACTCAAGATGCAATAACAAAGGATCTTGGACTGTCTGTCTCAGAGGTTAATTTTGCCTTTTTCTTAATTTGATTATCAGGGTGCTTCTTTGATTTGATTTTTTTTGCTTATAAAACTCATCTTCTTGGACCAGTTTTCCCTATTTGCCTCCTTATCCAATGTGGGCGCTATGTTTGGGGCTATAGCCAGCGGTCAGATAGCTGAGTATATTGGGCGGAAAGGGGTAGGAATCAGTCATTTTGGTTAAGCATTATCATATTAGCTCTTATTTTGTGTTTCTATAATAAACTTGAAGTTCATTGTGTTAATTGCAGTCTTTAATGATTGCTGCTATTCCCAATGTCATTGGATGGCTTGCCATATCTTTTGCAAAAGTGAGTGTTACAAATTACTACCAATTCCTGTAAGACTTCAGCTAGTGTAAAAAATGCTTGCTTGCATAGCCTTAAATGACAAAGCTTGCTGCTTTTTATAGGATACATCTTTTCTTTATTTGGGAAGATTGCTGGAAGGTTTTGGTGTGGGAATAATCTCATATACGGTAATATTAACCCCTGCCTTTATTGTTCAGCTTGAATATTCAAGCCAAAAGAACTGCTGAGAACATTTTCCTCTTAACCATCTATAGGTGCCTGTTTATATAGCTGAGATATCACCTCAAAACTTGAGAGGGAGCTTGGGTTCCGTGAACCAGGTTTGCTCTTGTTCTACTTATCAGTAGGGTTGCTAAATGACTGTAACCACTTGTGCTAATCAAGTTTCACACATTGTGCTCTGTAGCTCTCTGTTACAATTGGAATAATGCTGGCTTATCTGTTGGGAATTTTTGCTCAATGGAGAATACTAGCAGTTATAGGTAATCATCTGAGAATCTTCAGTCTGATGGCTGCATCATTTCTTGAAAAAGTGTCTCTCTCTGCCACCCCTCCTCCCCCAAAAAAAAAAAAAAAACCTTTTTTCTGCCTCTTCTCTTGCTTTCTCTAATAAGATGGAAGAGGAGATGTAAACGTTCTCCTCAGATAAACAAGCACAATCTTAGAAAAAGGGGGTTCTGCTAGTTCTTCATCCTCTTTTTTATGTCTTGATCATTGTAGTTCTAGCTTGTCTTCAAATTAGTGAGGAATGTTTAACAGAGATTTGCTTGTTTGTGCCCTTAATCATTGAACTTTCTTTTCCACTGCTTCTTATGGCTTTTTGTCACTGAGACTAGAAGAACTTTATTACGAATTTATATTTATATTAGATTAAAAAATTTTAAGCGTCAATTCTATCATGGTCTTCAAGACCCTTTATATTCTACCTATTTTTTCATTAACAGCAGTTAATTGTTGCAAATTTAGAGGTACTGAGCTGAACCCCTTCCTTTCAATTGAATGGAAGAAAGTTAAAAATCAAACATTACGGTTTGCAGCTATTGGAAAAATGATGGAGAATATCTGAAATCAGCATAACAGTTTTATTCATGGAACTTGGTAACCTTTGTCTTTCAGGAATACTGCCATGTACAATTTTGATACCTGGTCTATTTTTCATTCCAGAATCTCCTCGTTGGCTGGTAAGCTTTGATAAAGTACATTGTTTCTTGAGCCTGGTTATATGCATTGTTATAATTGCCCCTGATGTAGGTTATCTTTCCTAAATTTAGGCAAAAATGGGTATGACAGAAGATTTTGAAGCATCTTTGCAAGTTCTTCGAGGCTTTGATACTGATATTTCCTTTGAAGTGAACGAAATCAAGGTAACAACAACCACATTGAACTGTTTCTGATTCATGGTATACCTTTTGAATTGTTTGGTCAATTGTGCATTTGCAAGTTTCTGCTAGAAACTACTATCAGCAGTGTTCTTTCTCTCATCTTCCTTTCAACTAATATACACATCCTCTAATAAATTGCATGGTACAGAGGTCAGTAGCATCAACAAGCAGAAGAACTACAATTCGTTTCGCAGAACTCAAGCAAAGGAGATATTGGTTTCCTTTGATGGTACTTTTAATTGCTCATAAGTTTGATTTTACTCATCTGAACTGTCATATGACTTGATTGTGAAAAAAAGCCAGCATATAATTGGTTCCATAAACTAATATTTTTCAGGTTGGAATTGGGTTACTTCTGTTGCAACAACTTAGTGGCATCAATGGTGTTCTATTCTACTCTACTACAATTTTTGAATCTGCAGGTAAGCTTAAACAGGTTTCATATCATACATGAATCATTTTTCAGCTGCTTCAGAATCATGGTAAATATGATAAGTTTAGTATTGCTGGTCAAAAGGCCTATTTAGTTACTTTAATTTTGATCAGGGGTTGAATCAAGCAGTGTGGCAACATTTGGACTGGGTGCTGTTCAGGTATAGGGGTCAAGGAAGGCCATATTTTTTTTTCCCTGCACATTTGTCTTAGTATGTTGGAATCTTCTAAAGAAATCATAATCCTAATTGAAGTATATGTGCTATTAGGTTGCTGCCACTGCAGTAGCCACATGGTTAATGGACAAAGCAGGCCGAAGGCTTCTCCTTATAGTGAGTTTAAGCAAACTACTTTGTGTAATTGGTAATGCCTGGGAGCCATAAATGCATAACTATTCAATCTTGTTGTTGCAGATCTCCTCTTCTGGAATGACTGTTAGCCTCCTAATTGTTGCTGCGGCATTCTTTTGGAAGGTAATTTTACCGTAAATTATGTTGAAAAGAACATTCTATCTCTTTGTAGTGCCAACGGAAAGCAGGATTTTGAATGTTGGATGTTTCCCTCCTAATTGCAGTGAAAGAACCACAAATTTAAGCTTTGTCTATTAACATTCTTTTTTTCCTTATTGGTTGTGATGTTAATGATGGCTCTTAGGAATCTATATCAAGCGATTCTAGCCTTTATGGAATATTGGGCATTTTATCAGTAGTTGGAGTTGTGGTACGTCTATAATGGATTCTGAGACAGTAACTTATTCTCTTATGCTAAGCTTTCCTTGCCTGACTCTGTTCTACACTTCTTCCAGGGAATGGTGGTTGCCTTCTCTCTCGGCATGGGACCCATTCCTTGGATTATTATGTCTGAGGTACCAGCGTTTACTCTCATCTGACTTTGGTGGATGATTGCTTCAGTCATTTAATTGTGCTTGAGTTGAAAACTCTTGTTGAGATCATACTCCAGGCATTTATATATATGTAGGGTTGCGGATTTTCAGTTCGACATGCAAGAAAATAGTGCAGAAATACTTATGAAATTAATTAAATACCTTTAATCAGTATTTAAATAATTTATCAAATATTCCTATACTTTTTTCATGCATGTCGACCTGAAAAACTCATTTTTTCTGAAACGTGTTTTCTAATGTACTTTGGTAATATTCATTTCAGATACTTCCAATCAATATTAAGGGTCTCGCTGGAAGTGTAGCTACCCTTGGTAACTGGCTCGTTTCCTGGATCATTACGATGACAGCAAATTATCTCCTAGACTGGAGCGATGGAGGTCTGTCTCTCTCTCTTTCTCTATGAGGCATGCACAGGCACACCCCCACAAACACAACACACATGCACACATACAGCTACATTGACAAAATATAAAGTTGAACCCTGGAAATTCAAGGATCAGTTGTAGGAAATGTTCAGAATAAAGCTTCAAGTTCATAGAGAACATAACCTTTCAAGTTTAGTGTTACTGTAATTTTGGTTTTCTAACGATTTTGAGTTTTCTTCTTAAACAGGAACCTTTACCATTTACATGCTCGTGAGTGCTTTTACCGTGGCATTTGTGACCCTTTGGGTCCCTGAAACAAAAGGAAGAACCCTGGAAGAAATTCAATTTTCATTCAGATAAGGTTTTGCTGAGAAACGTAGTTGTTCCTTTCATTTTCAATATTTCCTAGGGATTATAGAGATATTCTGCAATATGTAAATTGTTGAACTTGGTACGAAGGAAGCCGCTGTATCCAACCGGCATTTTGTGTTTTTTGTAGCTTGAATTTCTTAATGACCCAGTTTCATCTGGAAACAGAAATTGCCATTGTTTTATGGAACAGAATTTCAGCATATTTGTTTGATTAAATACCATCGATGATGGAAGATTGCTTTGAATTTCATGCTGTTCATTTCAGTGTCTTTTGGCCAAAATTTGAAAGGGTTGGACAAGTAAAACAGCAGGCCTGACATGCTTGTTCATAACTTTTACTGAATTTTCAGTCTTAAATAAAGGTTCATTATTTTTTCCTCTTCATCTACCTGTTGAGTTGAATTACTGTATGTCTGTGTCAGCGGCCAGTTTTGCAGACTGTTAGGGGAGGGGCTTGAGCGGGGAAAGGGAAACAGTTGAACAGGGGTAGTTGACTCTAGCCTCTTGAGAAGAATTATTGGTACGTACTATCACTGGTAGCTACTTTTCATAATCCACAAGACTTAAAAAAGAAAATCATACAACATCATATCAGCTTTACTATCCCAATAACTTCGATAAATCTTCGAGATACTAGGGGTTAAGAAAAATGAGAACTCCTCTGAGAAAAATGGAAAACTCCATGTTTTACAACGTCATAAATAGGATAAAAAAGACTACTGAAAATTTTTGAGAAATATGGTACAGGATGTCCATGTCGTAAGTATGACACTCAAATGATCAAGCAATGGATAAGCAAGGTTCAATGGTCTAGAAATACCCTGAAATTGAGAGTAGCCAAAATTTGCTGCTAAGCTAGGTGCTTAACCTAACTGGATACTTGTCAATGCAACCTTCCCAGGGACCATTACAAGATGGCCTCACAATCCGTAGTGCTTGCCAAACCGCACTGTTGCATTTGAAGCCACTCCCGAATGCAATCTGCCAGACACGGTGGCCTCTTCGCATCCTCCCCTTAGCCTCAATATAGGCCAACTCATACCAAATGGAGCTTGAAGAAGTATTCCCAAAACGATGGAGAGTCATCCGAGAAGCTTCCACATGTACAGGTAGCAGCTGCAGGTTCTTCTCCAGCTCATCAATCACAGCCCTCCCACCAGCATGTATGCAGAAATGATCAAATGCCAACTTGAAATCTGGAATATAAGGCTTGACTTTTGAGTTGAACAATTTTTTCACCAGCAAAGTTGCAAAGAACAGGAGTTGCTCACTAATTGGGAGTACCAGGGGACCCAATGTAGTGATATTGGTCTTCAGAGCACCTCCAGCAATAGCCATCAAATCTTTGGACAGCGAAACCCCAGTCTTCCCTGCATCATCCTGCTCCTGATAGACACAACTAAACGCCTTATCATCTGCCCCACGATTAGTCCTCACGACATGAACAAGCTTATACTTAGCCTTCCTCCTATCCTTGGATTTATTTGAAAGTAATACAGCAGAACCCCCAACACGAAACAAGCAATTCGGTATCAACATAGACTTCTTATTTCCAAAATACCAGTTCTGAGTAATGTTCTCAGTGCTCACAACAACTCCATAAGTATTCCTATGAACTTGCAACAAATCCTTGGCAAGATCAACAGCAATAACACCAGCACTACATCCCATCCCTCCCAAATTGAAGCTTCTAATGTTCCCCCTAAGCTTATACTTATTCACAATCATAGCAGACAGTGAAGGTGTTGGATTAAACAAACTACAATTCACAACAAGAATACCAATATCCTTAGGATTTATGTTGGTGTTGTGAAAAAGAATGTCTAATGCTCCAAACATTACCTCCTCCGCCTCCTCTCTGGCAGCCGCCATGGATGGCGTTGGGGGAATATTGTGCATCGCCTTGGGCACGTAAGTCTCGTCCCCTAGGCCGGAACGCTCCAAAATCTTGCGCTGGAACTCAAGAGACGATTCGTCGAAATCACCAGTTAGCCTGGAATGCTCCATGAACCGATCAAAGGGGGCTTTCAGGGGATCCGGAGCACGATAACAGGCGTAATCGACGAGGTAAACAGGTCTCGGTCGGGTCATTATGTAGACGGTTAAGCCGAAGACTAAGATGGCAGAGCAGATGACGATGCTAACTAGATTATACTGGAGGTGAAGCCAGAGATGGCGCAAATCATCGAGATTCATCTGAGAAACCTGGACGGAGACTGCCGCGATCAAGGGAATGAAACATAGGGTTAGAAGATTGGAGATGAGGTAGTGGTAGCCCAATTTAACGTACTTGAGATTGACACTCTGGAGGAAATCAGGGAGGCGTCGAGTGTGTTGGAACTGGACTCCAACAGATCCGCTGGTTGAGCCACCGGTACGGACGACTGTTGCAACACCCCCTTGGTCCATGGCGGTGAGTAGCAGAAAATGGGAAGGGAAGGATGTTTGGCTGTTAGTAACGGATGTTGTTATGCGAGGGGATAGAGAGGGTTGCAGACACACGAAGTGAACTGACAAAAAAATCTTACGTTAGATTTCCTATGTCTCTGTCATGTGGAAATACAGTAGTGGAAAAATAATAAAGGACAAAATGTGACAATTACCAAATGATTGCTGCCCTTTTTTCCCAAACAGTGTTCTGGAAAAGTTGCGTCTAATGATCTAACAAGGCCTTCTTTTTTTCCCTCTTTTTGTTGATCACCACGCAATGGCTCAATTCTTCTGCATGGTTATGGCAAGTGACAAATTGTTTGTGCCACACAAAATCTTAAATACTGTCTTTTAAGTTATTGATTTTTTTAATAAATTTTTTTAATTTATATATTTAAAATATAAGTTAAGGGTATTTTTTTACAATAAATTTATATAAAAAAATATAAAAATAAATATTAATTTTAAAGTGAAGGGAATAGTTTGCACAAAAAAAAAATAAAGTTTATCTGTCTTACTTTTTAAAAATTGAGATGAATATTATTTCAAAAACACATATTAAAAAAATTAAAATATCTTATTTTTAAAACATAAATTAAGGTATTTTTTTAAATCTTTTCTCATCCTAATTTTTTAAAAACAAGCGGATAAACAGTAACCCTAAAGTTAATGTTACATGAAAAAATTTAATTAATACTTTTTTTTTTTTAAGATTCTTAACTTATAAGACACAAATTAAAAAAATTCTTTTTTTTTTAAATTAGAGGAAGCAGTTAATAATTATAGATATTAATTAATAAATAATAAAATAATTAATATTTATTATTTAAAAGATAATATTATCAATCTTATTTTTTTTTAAAGTTAAAATTTTAATCTATACTTAAAAACCAAAATTTCAAACAAGGAAATTCATGATTTTTCAAATATTTAATCTATATGCCCAAGCCCAACACCTCAACACTAGTACTTGTGATCATGGACTATCTGTGAGGAATAGCTGAATAGCTGAATAGCCTAATGACATAGGACTTGGTGCGCTTATATTCATTACCAAGTGTTTTCTCAAAATCTTTACCCGATCTTTACCATATAAGTTTGGTTATTACGCGCGTCATTTGCTTTGTTTAAAAACAAGAAAATTGAATTTTTTAGATAACTCTTCTTCTTTCTAGCAGTCGACCTGGATGGCTCTAAAATGAATTGCGCCCCAGACGATGTTGCAAAACAAAAGATAAAGTTCTGCAAAATGGGTTTCTAATTGCCTTGGAAACCTCCAAGAACTTCACAACCAAACAAATGCAATAAAAGTTATAAATCCTAAAATAAATGCAATATCCTAAGGTAATTAAACTAACATGAAGTAAATAACAAAAAATAACATGCTATAAAGATTAAATTTGCAAACAACAAAAAAAAGGTAGAATAACAAACAATAATTTCAACTACACAGCCAATAATGATTAAATTAATTACTGGCATAATTAAAATAACAACAACTAAACGACTTCATTGTTAAAACTACAAGAAATAACTACAAATTAATTGAAGTCTAGAACTGGAAAACTAAAATTACGTGAACTGAATGTTTGGATATTGTGCAGAGACAAAAGAACAAAGGTAGAAAACGTTCAACCTATTTACATGAACAAATAACATAACTAAATCCATAAAAGGAAAAAGAACTAACCAAATAAAAAAGGCAGACCTATTTTGAAGGCTAAGTTGCTTCCAAATGCTTAAAAATTAATCTAAATTGGAATTTGCGGAAGAAAATATGAACAAAGATGAACAAACCTAG